TGTCCTACTAGAGCAAATGAAGCTTCATGAAGCTTCGCGTTGGGGTGAACCAATTGGATGAAAAGCTTCAGTGCTTCATGGGGCTTCATCTGCCCATCACTACTGTTAAGTACTGTGAATAGTGAAACAACACTTACGGCGATGTCCCTCCCCTTCTTCTGCGCTTTTCTGTTTGTTGCTGGCATAGTGACGGCAAGTTATCGCATAACGTCACAATAAAACACCTCCACGTTTCCCACAATGTCTTAAATAAAAACAGACCGACACATTTGTGTGCCTGCACAGCAGTGCACCGGTGAAAACAAGTCAAACATCCTTCACGTGGTATTGACTTCCGAGATATTTCCCAGGATTTCTCCGGCGCCCCCTGCAGCCCGGAGGCTGCAACAGAAAACCACGCGGCTAATCACTGAAACTCCATTCAGACACCAACAGGAAATGTTTTGGTGTCTGTGCCTCGATTATTATGATTATCTGCTAGTTATTGAGCAACTTTTGTCGCCATTAAAACATTAAAATTTGACTAAAAGCTAAAAGCCTCGGGTTAATATTATCAATGACTGCCATATTTTTCTATTTTCAAAAAAGGATTTAAATCTTTGTCGAAAATAAAGGCAATAATTAAATTATACAATGCTTTGTGCATTCATACAATGATAAAAAGTTTAGTCTCTTTTTTTAAATGGACATTCCGGAATTTTATTGTTTGTGAAACCATTTACCAGGTTTTTTTTTTAACTATGTATATATATTTAAATTTAAATATTAACTTTAGGTAACGCTCCTTAGAGGTTATCAAAAATAATAACCTTCAGAGGAGCTTCTAGAAGGTTGCCAATATATTACCCAAAGAATTCATTACAATAACCCCGTCTACGTTTCCTAGAATACCTTTTAAAGATCGGAAAAAATATAACCAGGCGAGAAAGAACGTTTCCAGAGGGGGTGATGTGTTTTCTGAGAATGAATCATTTCTATGAATTTGCCATTCTCACTGTGCGCGGTATTTTGTTCGTCGAACTTGTGTTCTGTGACTCTTATAATTGATCTAAATCTGTACTTTTAAAAAGTGCCATATAAAGACGAGTGAAAAAAAAATCAAAGGATATGCGGCTCTTCTTTTCTTCCCAGAATTGACAATGCGGCACTCAGTGCGCATGCGCCAATTTCCAGGAAGCGTTAACATTTTTTTTCTTTCACCAGCTGATAGCCAAATTGTCAACAGTTAAGTCAGCGCTACCCGCACGGCTGAAACGACACTATACACGGTAAATAGATTTATGTTTTCCTCTCAGTACCTCTGTGTTACTTATACGCTCGGCAGGAACGGCTGTGTTTCATTGGGCGTCGAAATGCGAGGCTTTGTTTCAGTTTTGTGTCGTCCGAACCGAATGCTCGGATCGCTGTCCCGCTAGCACATAACCCGAGATAAGGGTTGCTGATCTGATAACAGTCATTGTGGGAGTTGCCTCAACACGAGTACGCCAGGATGTCATCCGTCTGCTCTCTTGTCCTGACGCGTGTCAGCGTTGTGCTGAGGTTAATGTTTCAAATGGAGAAAGTGCTGCAGTGCCGGGGGGAGGGGGGTTGTTAGCGTCGAGTGTCTGAGGTGGGAGAGAGCAATTAGAAGCGCAGCATCCCCAGTAAACTCCAGATCAAATGGGCCGCTATTCTCCCCACACATCTCCTATTCAGTGAACGCAGCAGCATGTGAAGGTTGGTACATATTGTGCAATGCAGTTAGGATTTAAACAGGTGCTGGATTGTATGCGAGACCTCCATCCCTCCTATGAGGCTTAAATCTTTAGAACTTATTTCTGGATCGGCTTGGATTTCCGTTTCATGAGGTAAGGCGTGATCACATTCAGAGGTAGTACACGTGAGACATTACAGTCGCAATTAAAACTTGTGCTTGATCGCATAGAAAACTTCTAATCTTTAGAAAGTATGGATCCGCCGGGAGAAGATTTGTTACCTTGAGGAAGAAGGATATGTGTATATAGGGCAGACAGTGTGTAATCTTGAACCGAAATAAAAGTCTTCTGGCTTTTTCACACAGGCCAAACACGACTAGAACAGAGGTCAAGACGTCGTCAGTGACACGTGACTCTCGGTCTGTTTTGGGAAGCAGCACAAGTGACCAAAAGCACCTGTCTCCACTCAGGGAGGAGGCCCAGCCCCCCTGCTGTCTCTGGTCAGTATGAGCTCCAGAGGGAGCGGAGGCCGCTCCAACGGCACACTAACGCAGACCAAGATTTGCCAGTTCAAGTTGGTGCTGCTGGGGGACATGGCTGTGGGCAAGTCCAGTCTGGTGCTGCGTTTTGTCAAAGGGCAGTTTGATGAGTTCCAAGAGACCACTATAGGAGGTAAGAACTGGGAGAACTCCTAATCAGGTGATTGATTGGGGGGGGGTTAAGAACCCCATAATGATCTATCGTGCTTCTTTTTTATGTCCAGCTGCATTCCTGGCACAGTCGGTGTGTCTTGATGATACCACAGTGAAGTTTGAGATCTGGGACACTGCAGGACAGGAGCGATACCACAGCCTGGCTCCCATGTACTATCGTGGCGCTCAGGCTGCTATTGTTGTCTTTGACATCACCAAGCCGGTACGTAGAAATATTTCCTAATTTCAGTAGGTCTTGGCTGAACTGATATTTGTTCTAAAATGTCGGACTGCTGCCTACAGGTATTTTTCAACATTCACAATTCATTTCATTTACCTAAATCAATCATGTAAAGATTCTCACTGAAAGACAGTTGTAGAAACGCATAAATGTCTCCCACAGCCTAATATCAGTATTAACCTGGAAACTCCTCGAGTTCTTTCCTTTCCTCTTTTTTTTGTCGTCCCACATTCTTTACATCATTAGACATGGATATATTTGGTATCACTGAAATTCAGGAAGTTAGGTGTGACTATGAAGGTAGAGTAGGCCATCTGATAACTGGAAGGATGGTGGTTCAATCTCCAGCTCCCATGATCCCAGAGCTAGAGTTGGAGGATAACTTCAGGGTTCACCTGAAGTTATATTCTCTATGATCGTTGGATTTTTCTCTGTATCTATTATTGTAGGATCTACTGTACAATATAAAACGCCTCGAGGCGACTGTTGTTGTTATTTGGCGCTGTATAAATAAAATTGAATTGAATTGAACCCCTGGGTTTTGAATTATGAAGGTGGTACTGAGTTAAATCGCCATGGTAGCTTGTGCTTCACATCTGTATATTCAAGATAAGACATTTGGCAAATGCAAAACCACCACCTACTGATGAATGTCTCTGGGAAATAGTGTCACCATTCCTGGAAGAGCCCCTAAGGCCAGTGTGAAGCTTCAACAAGGAATAAAGATTCTTGAGCGCAATGTGAATGATAGAAACTTTGAACCTTGCATCCAGTTCGTGTACTGGCTGATGTTGAAACACAAATTTGCATTTTGATCTACTTAATGGTTTACAACATGTTTTTATATTTGTCCTGTGTGACAGTGTAAATCCACCGTCTGGCTGGGCCTTTCTGTGTGGCGTTAGCAGCTTCTTCCCGTGTCTGTGTACTCACAGTTTGAGTCTGATCTTCTTGTGTTGTCATGATGGCCACTGATACTGTAAGGTCTATGAAGTGACAGTCGAAATGTTCTGCCAGCTTTCCTTAATGGAGTTTTTATTTTTATGACCACTCAAATCATGTGTCACAACAAATATATTACATTCAACATGTATTATATGTTCGACCACTTCATATTTTTTATGTTTATTAAATTAGATTTTATGTATACAACACTCATTCACAATAACAGTGCACAAGGATGATAATATCCATTGAGCAAGTACTTGGTGACAGCAGGGAGGAAAAACTCAGTCTAAACAGGAACAGATCTCGTACAGAACCATGCTTTAGGCAGATGCCCATAGTTTCCTAACTGGTTCTGGTGGTGATGGGGAAAGGGAAGGCAGAAAAAGAGAATATAGAGAGACGTTAAAATTTGCTCTTTTATTTGTAAAGCATCTCCCGGGACCTGTCCATGTTGCAACTGGTTTGTGCTGTAAGCGACACACACCTCCTTCTTGGATGGACTAATCAGGCCGATGACCACCTTTGTGGGATTACTTAGCCTGACTGTCTGTGTTAGACTATGCAAATACAAGTAAAGAAAATCCTGGGCACTCTGAGCAGGAGAAGGAAAGTGCTGTAGAAATTCCACTTCCCAAGTAGGAATATCAGCTGTCTTTTATTTCAAATGTGTTTTCATAAGTGCAGCCCAAACACGCTGCTTTGAATCAGGTTTTGCAAACTTTTAATGGTTGTTATCTACAGTCATGCATATTTGTGTAAATAGTAGGGGTGGGGGAAAAAATCGATACTGTGTAGTATCGTGATATTTTGTTTGCTAATAATGTATCGATACAGGGACAGCAGAAATTGATATTTTGTTACAAAAAAAGTTTTTGTGCTCTGACTTCAGAGCATGTTGATCCTTTTTCTGAGCAAGAATCCTGACATTCCTTCACTGTCCAAATGTGTTTAACTTTAACCGTGTTTAACCGTTCAGTTTGTCAACAATAAAACTGACTGAAATGAGAGAATGGCTGAGTGTGAGACTTTGATATTAGATAAAATGAATATTGATAAAGTTTACCTTTATGTACAGAATCTGAATATCGCAAAATATTTTAAAAAATTGCAATAATATCGTATCGTGCGTTAAGTATTGTGATAATATCGTATCGTAGGATGTATGGTGATTCCCACCTCTAGTAAATAGCAATTCTGAAATCTATCAAAGCATAAATGGAAAACATTTTTGATGTCACACATCTCCAATGTTAGCTGTGACTTTGGGTTCACCTAGTTCTTTTATTGAAATTAACTGATTCTGTACTTACCCATATTATAATCAAGACATTGATTTTTTTTTTAAATTATTTTTTAACACATACTGTGTCTTCAGACTTTTACATTTTAACAAGTAACTTTCTTTCTGTCAGTACCTCAGTCATGCTTCCAACACAGAGGCTTTGAACTTACTGACGTTTCATTTGAATGTCGCACTTTTGAAAGAAGTTATTACATTATACTGCCCAGCTCCAATATTTGCATCAGCTCAAAGGTGAAAAGTTAATCTCATCATATTTGCTTGGTATCTCCATGGTAGTTTATCTGACCTTGGTTCTGTGTTTGTGCAGGAGACGTTTGAGAGAGCCAAGGCCTGGGTGAAGGAGCTGCAGAGGCAGGCCAGTCCTAACATTGTTATTGCCCTGGCTGGAAACAAGGCTGACCTGGCCGAGAAGAGACTGGTGGAGTATGAGGTAACGCACCCCTGTTGGTCCAAATTAAATCATAACCAATTTACTTCCTGAAGACAGAAGCAGTCCTATGGATAGAAGCACCTTGTTAATGAAAGAGGTCAGAGGCCACAGTTGTTGGAGCTGACAGACTATTAAGATTCACATCTTCAGCCTTGAAGCCGTTAGCTGTAACTGCTAGCCTAAAGCAGAAATATGTGGCTGCAAAGGGAACACACTTGCAATTCATAACTAACAAAATAGTCCCCAGTGAATCTTTTGCTTTAATTATCTCACAGCATGAATAAAAAAACCCCAACCATGCTTGTTGCAGCATTGTAGGCTACTACGGTTGGATTTTAATACTGTGGGGAATGCTTTCTGGTCTGACTTTGGCCCACAATACTAGTTAGCTATGGTTTGAATGTGTAAGTGCTGTCACTGACCTTTTGGATCCTGGTACAGCCACACTTCTATTGTCTGAATCCACTAGATCACCTTTGGGATGTACTGTATATGTGTGTACATATAGAAGCTTCTGTTGGAGCTACACACTGTGGCAACCTCTTGTGACAGGAGAGTAGCTGAAAGTGGCTTTGTAACAGTGATGTCAGCATGGAGCAGAATATCAGAGGAAGGTGGTCTCCATGACACCAAGAACTGAGCTCAATAAGAGGAGCCATCCAATTTTAGTTTAGAATGGTAAACTGTATATAAAAGGGTACTCGCCATCCACTGGTTTGGGAATCCGTATTACAAAGCTTCAGACCTTACATCCTGGCTTACACTACACTATGCTGTGTTTGGTTTGTTTTCAAAATCATTATATGTGGAGCAGAACCAAGGACAAAATTATATGTTAATGCTAGTAAGCTTGGTAAGCAAGCAGCATTCAGACTGTATTAGTCCATTATGCCTCCTTAAGGCTACTTAAAATTAGAGATGGCACGATACCACTTATGTCCGAATCGGTCGGATGTGACTTTTTTTTTTTATATGTGATGCTGAATTACAGTCATGATTTGTGAATGGAAAACAGTTTAGTTCCTTTCATCTGCAGGTTTTAGCATTTGTGCTAGTAGTTTTTTAAATACTGTGTAATAATTTGATCTTTTCATATGCTGAATGGTAAAGGAAGCCCAGACATATGCCGAAGACACTGGTTTGCTTTTTATGGAAACCTCTGCAAAGACAGCCATGAACGTCAATGAGCTGTTCCTGGCCATTGGTGAGTGTTGTTTTATATAAGAATAATTTCTTTCACAGAAGAGACTAATAGACGTCAGGAGTCCTGCCTCGTGAATTATATGCTTGTCACAGTCTAAATAAACCTCTTCTCTTTAATCTAGCAAAAAAGATGCCAAAAACAGACACCCAAAACCCAACGCATGCAGCCCGACATCGGGGAGTCAACCTCCAGGACCCAGATGCTCATTCCACCCGAGCCTGCTGTGGAGGGAACTAGACTTCCACAACTCTCTACCACCTGTATTCTACCATCCACACCACCACAGCCCTACAACCATCTCGTCTCTTTCAATCAACTTACAGGGGGTGAGCCTTTACTCTGCATTCATCTTCCTGTTCAAGCAGAGAGAATAAGAGGAGAGGAAGAACCAAAAAAGCAAGCAGAGATGGAGGACAGAGACAACGTTTCACACGTGTCTGTTGACCAACAACTCTGATTCCACATTTGGAAAGACACGGTATAGAGAAGACTGAGATTAAGAGGAATGTAGAAGATGGTGGCAAGCCTGTTCTAGTATTTAGCACTAATTGTGAAATTTCTTTCGTGTTCACTCTGCCTTGCATCATTTTCAGTCACGGCCCCGATTGGCACAAACTGAGCAGCACATGTTGCCGAGTGTCCCGAAAGGAGAAAAAAGGGCCGAGGCATTAAAAGAGCCAAACGGTTGAGACGTCAGTCACACCCCCCCCCCCCAGCTTGCAGCTGCTTGCTTTTCCCCTCTAATAAGATCCTTCTGTGAATAAATACCGAATTGAACCCCGGGAATGAGTTTGAACCCCTCTGTCCTGCCCGACCCTCCTGTGGCTCAGTTTGTCTGACACAAGTCAATTCGTACCTATTTAATGTTCCATGTTCCTACTTCTCTTGGCTGCAGACTGATAAGCTTCAGCATCTCTGATTCCTCCCTTATTTAGTCTAAATGGTAACCCAAAAAGTTAAGACGTGAAGTAAACATTTCAACTTCTGACAAGTTCTGAATTAGTGAAACTAAAGCTCAGCAAGTCTGAGAATTATTTATTGAAAGATTGAGGTACATGCAGTTAGTGTGAATAAGCTTGCTGTAGCTCTTTACAGCAGTAATATACACTGGATGTGAAGTGTATAACTATGACATGGACAGGGTTACTAAATCGTTATTCTGATTGGCATCTATAGCTTTCCATCTGGAAATGGTGTTCCCAAATGTCAAGGAATTGATTAAATTCCATTGTCCTCCCTGTTTGGTTTAGACTATGAGGCTTGTAATAAACCTCCTTGGTCTGGAGTATATCTGCACATGTTGTGTTCAGCTTAAATGGCATAACTGTTTCCTTTACCTTACTAGAATGAGCTGTGTGCTCAGTGGCTGTCAAAAGGCTTGGCTGAAGAAAATGAGGAAAGAATAGATAAAAAATACACACAAAAAAACAGAAGTGCCTACTCCCCGTTTTCTTTCTGTCAATCATGCTTGGGGCTTTCTTTGAGTGTGTGCTTTGCAGACAAGGCGCAAGACTACTCCCTGACGTTGGTTTGCACCATAAACCAAAAACCTGGCACCCCGTCATTAGGCTATACCGTACTGGCTCTTTGTATGGATGTAGAGATCCTGTCGAATACACTGTATGTTAAATATTGTCTTAATTTCACTGAGAATGTTTGTTGACTTTAGCAGAGCACACTTGTGAACCTGGAATGGATCGTTTAAAGGACTCTGATCAATGTTATAAATCAGTGGGATTTAAACACACATCTGTGTCCAGAGAAATCTTTTCTTCGGCTTTATTTTCATATCCAAGCATTTTGATGAGAAAAACTGAATTCTCATTAAGACAATTTTCAAATAGTATACAAATGGAAAGCTTAAAAAAAAAAAAAAAAAAGTACCGTTCCTCTCAACACTAACAGCTCACTATATACAAGAAACGCATCCACTGTCATTGTTCACTGTTTTAACGTAGGTTCAGTGGTCTGTACGAGTAAGATGACAAGTAATTAAAACAAAGACTTGCTTTTTCCATCAGCACCTACGGTATGTAAGTGTTCAATAAAGCTGTGAAGTCATTATTTCTGTTTAAAAAAACAAAATGAAAAAAAGCTGTTCTCATCTTTCTGGCCTCTTTAATCATCTTGAAATTACAATGTCAGAAAAAGAAAAAGTGTTCTAAAAAATCTGGTTGGATTAAAATACATAAAAATCATGTTTAAACAACAAAACATTTTGATGGGTATAATTTCTGTGGAAACTGAATCCAGAATCAAATTCTTTGCTTGTGTACAGTCCACCTTTACGGGCATTTTAATAAAGCCATGCCTCTGCTTTGAACAGCTCGTGTGAGTAGCTGCAGGTACATAAATTAATGAATATAAACTAACGGAGAAGTTTACACTGCCTCTCTGACTATCCCTCACACTCGTCATCCTCCGCTGCTGTATAGATCACCTGGTTTCTGCGTTTGATTCTTGGAGTTGGGCCTCTGCTGCCAGCGTCCCCACTCTCAATGCTGGTTCGTTTTAGGATGCGCGCAGCTGTGACGTCCTCATCGTCGCCGCTGCCCTGTCCTGCCCCGTCTGCTCCAAACTGAGCGTGAGCTGGGGTAGAGTGGGAAGGAGGTGGCAGGTTCATGAGGTCGGGCAGAGGAGGGGGCGAGACGCTGCATTTGGGCTCGGGTAGAACCATACGGCTGGGTGTGTGGATTTCACCTGCTTTCGCATCAAAAAGCTCGTCTGCTTTCACCTCTGCTTTCAGCTCCTCCTCCTCCTCCCACTCGTCTTCTATGGTGATCTCATCTGGATTAAATGAACCTGACAATCCTGAAGTATCGGTTGGATACTCGCTGGGCTCGTCAGTACTTCCCAAACTATCTTCATCTTCGTCATCCTCTCCTCCTGTACTGCCCTGAACTCTCGCCACCTCATCTTCTCCCCGCCCGACCTGTGCATAGATGTCTGTGAGACCCAACTTGGCGCAAAGCTCGGTCGTCTGAGGGTTGGTGTTGTAGCTCGGGGTAGCCTGACGATGGGGCTTGTTGGGGTTGTAGGATGGCACCGTTGGACTGAAGTTGTCTGGAATGCCAAGCTCCCCGCTCAGATCCTCCACCACCTGCATCATAGCGGCTTCTGAAGCGCTGAAGTCCCACCTGATGGGTGTATGCAATCCAACATTATAAAAGAAAGTATGAACAAAAACCGCTCAGTCATAATGACCTTTGCTTCAAGCATCTGAAGCAATAACTTGGCAGCTCATTATTAGGCTCCACTATACTGTCTCCCAGTATGGATGCAAATACACTATGTAAAGTATGGTTTTGGCTTCACTGAAAACGTGCGTTGAGCTGATTTAAGCAAATATTGGTGTCCTGAGAAATCTTTCCTTCTGCTTTATTTTCATTATGTGAAATGTATTTTTATGAATAAGCAGTGTGACACACTTCAAATTGCTCCCCACTCAGTTCTGCTTGCTGGCTTTGGGAAGAAGGAAAAGAATGAAAACCCACAGCTGAAGCAGTGAGTTTCATACTTCCTCTCTAACTTGCACAGGTCTAACTAGCTACACCAGCAACTTCATTCTTGGTCTGTCTTGACATTGTAGACAGCTGAGTAGTTTAAAGAAAAATTCCAGTGACTAGCTCTAGTGCTCCTATTGCTTATTAGCATTTTTCTTGCGCTTCAAAAAAAAAAAAAAAAAAGTGGCATTAATTTGTGGAGAACATGCTGCCAAACAAAACATGCAAATATCAAACTTGTTTTTCCCCATAGAGCTTATTTTTGTTGCTTATTTCACCAAGGCAACACAGGTGGTGATAACATCCTACACAAAAAGGCCTTCCCTGAGCTCGAGTTTTCTTTTACACCTAGAGCTCAGGGAAGTTACAATGCAAAGCTTGTTTTAAGTGCAAGATCCTCTCTTCCAGAGTGACCTTTCCTCTGTTGCATGACACTGGCTCTTTGTTCAAGCTAATGTTTTAGTTCTGGGAGACTGAAATCATGCATGCACAAGCTAACTCTGCTTTTACAGGCCTTGTTACTTTTATGTCTATACGTGTGTACCGTTCATGCAAGCCATTATTCTCTGGGGGGTTCCAGGGGTGAGGAGTGGTCCTCTGTAGAGTGTTGGTAGCCTTGAGAATAGCAAGCCACTCTGGATCATACTCAAGACCCTCAGATGAACCTGGTCTTTCTGGAATATCCACAATCTGAAAAAACAAAAGGTGTTAGCTCACACACTTTAACCCAGACTCTGATCCTAATATATCAATTTTACAAAAAAAAAAAAGTTGTCCCACCTGTAAGAATTCCCTGTGGGGCAAACATTTATCCAGAGACAGGAATTTGGTTACGCGTGGTGCACTTTTACCTTTAGGCTGAAAATAAGAAATCACCGAAATGATGGTTAGAACGATTTAAACCTTATTAGCAGCAGTAATTCTAACTGAACAACTGTCACTCTCACCGGATGCTGCATAATGGCAGCAAATTTCACATGAAGATGTGCAGAGAACCAATAGTTAGGCTGGAGGTGAGCTAGGAGCTCCTCTGCAGCAGGACTTCCCAGAGAGTTTGACTCCACCTCCTGACGAAGGAATTTCTTCTTTCGTAACAGCTCCTTCGTGCTGCCATAGTAGTAGATTCCACGAGGCCAGTCGTGGCTCATGAAAATGTCTATTGGCATCTGGATCTTAGCAGAAATAATCATGTAAAATTAACATTGTATATTTAGCTACAGAAGTGGACAAACATTTAGAGTTGTGTGGAAGAACTTGCGAGATTTACCTGTTTTAATTTGAAAACCTCGATATTTCTGATGTGGTATGCACTTCGAAGTGTTTCAGGATTATATGGAGGGAATTCATGGTGGCCTTAAAGTGAAAACATGCCATGTATTTATGATGCATAGCAGTAGAGCCTCAAATATTTGAAAAGCTAAACAAACAAAAACAAATACCTTTCCTGTAGTCACGTGATTTGAAAATGCCAGATAAGCCACCAATTCTGATCCCTTTGTAGCGAATAACACCAGCATAACCTGGAGACAGGTGATTATATAGGTCAGGCTTGTGGCGAGTCAGACAAGCTGGCAAACAAATTTGGAATCAGTCAGTCTCTACCTAGATAATAAATGTTTGGTGCCACCCAGCCTCCATAAGGGAGCTCTTGCAGGTGATTGGAAGCCTCGTGGTTTCCTCCAATGAAAATGGTAAACACCGGAGCCTTCTTCTCCCCAGAATAATACCTGCAACACGGACAATAATAAAGTTTTAAATATCCTTACTCGTGTCTTTGATTTAACAACCAAACAAAAACACAACATAAACAAAGAACTTACTTGTAAAAGGTCTGCATGGTTCTGTACTTGGCTGGCACTGCCATGCACTTCAAGTCTCCCTCATTTCGCACTGCCTGGAAGTCTCCACAGCAAAGCAGCAGGTCCACCTTCACCCCTTCCTTCTGCTCCAGATACTCAATTGTCTCATAAATCTTGTCCAGCTCCCCATGGCAACAGCCTTCTACTGCAATTTTCATCCTGTGCAAACAGGTGATCTGACAACGTGCAGAGAAATTCACATTCACACTAAAGGATGGCTTCTGTTCTCATCTAAACACCATTAGCCTCTGTGGACACAGTCAAGCCGAGGTCCACGGCCTCCTAAAA